ATGAAGACCCAAGGATTCCGGATGGAGAAGAGGAAGAAAAAGGAGATTGAGGTGGAAGAAGCTGTTAAAGAAGAGGCAATGAAAAATGCTTCCAAGTCAAAGAAGCCAATAGATACCGAAGTGAAAGTAAATCCAACACCATTTCCTTTAAGATTAACAAGTACAAAAAGAGAACAAGAAGATGATGAGATCATGTCCATGTTCCGAAAGGTTGAAATCAACATTCCTCTTTTAGATGCCATTACACAAATTCCTAGATATGCTAACTTCCTTAAGGAACTTTGCTCATATAAGAAAAAGCTTAAAGGAAATCAAACGGTAAAAGCTGGGGAAAACGTTTCAGCCGTGTTACAGAAACGACTACCAAAAAAATGTAAGGATCCGGGTGTATTCACGGTTCCTTATAAAATGGGTAACCTTTTGTGACACATGCCATGCTTAATCTTGGAGCATCAGTTAATGTTTTAATAATTCAACTTGCCGATCGATCTTTGGTACACCCAAAAGGTGTATTGGAGGATATATTAGTGCAAGTCAATGAACTTATGTTTCCCACTGAGTTTTATGTGCTTGATATGGGAGATGATGACCAAACCTCAAGTTCCATCCTTTTAGGTAGTCTATTTTTAAAAACAGCAAGAACAAAAATTGATGTCTACAATGGTACATTGTCTATGGAATTTGATGGGGAAGTCATTAACTTCAATATCTATGAAGCAATGAGGTATCCAAGTGATGTTAATGTATAAATTTTGTTGATGTGATCCAACCTTTGACTGAAAAGTATTTTGAATTGACTAACCATGATTCTTTGGAGTTAGTTTTGAGCAGGAATTTTAATAACAATTTGGTCAAGGAAATTGCAGCAAATTTCAAGCTTGATGAGGAAGTACTAGAAATTATGGAGTTTATGGAAGAAAGGAAGAAAATGAGGTATGATAATACCAAGTTGAAATTTCCCATTTCTAACACAAAACTTCTTCCTTCTATTATGCAGGCACCAAAGTTAGAATTGAAGACTCTTCCTGAGCATTTGAAGTATGCATATCTTGGAGAAGAAGAGACATTGCCTGTTATCATCTCCAATAAGTTGTCCAAAGAAGAAGAAAATAAGTTAGTAAATTTGATGAAAGAGTATAAGAAGGCTATTGGGTAGATGATTGCTGACATAAAGGGGTTGAGTCCCTCTTTATGCATGCATAAGATTCTTATGGAGGAAGACTTCAAACCAACTCGAGAGGCACACATAATATTGAATCCCCCAATGATGGAGGTAGTAAAGAAAGAAATCATGAAGCTTTTGGATGCATGTATGATTTACCCTATCTCTGATAGCAAATGGGTGAGCCCCGTTCAGGTAGTCCCGAAAAAGGATGTGGTCACAGTTGTCAAAAATGATGAGGGAGAATTGGTGCCAACACGTGTGCAAAATGGGTGGTGAGTTTGTATTGATTATAGGAATTTGAATGCTTCAACAAGAATGGACCATTCCCCCCCCCCCCACACACACCATTTATTGACCCAATGTTAGAGAGATTAGCGGGTAAATCCCACTATTGCTCTTTAGATGGTTTCTCGGGTAGTCGGGATTTCACTAAATTCTGGTAGCCCCGAAAGATCAAGAGAAAAACACATTCATTTGTCCCTTTGGCACATTTGCTTGTAGGTGTATGCCTTTCGGTCTATGCAATGCACCAGCAACATTTCAGAGATGCATGGTGAGCATTTTTTTTTGAATATGTTGGAAACATTATCGAAGTTTTCATGGATGATTTCACAGTTTATGGGAACTCCTTTGATAAATGTTTGAGCAATTTAACAAAAATTCTACAAAGGTGCATTGATACAGATCTTGTGTTTAACTATGAAAAATGCCTTTTCATTGTGCCAAAAAGGCTTGGAAGTTGACAAAGCCAAGATTGACATCATCAAAATTCTCCTTTACCGGAAAAATGTTCAGGAAGTTCGTTCGTTTCTTGGTCATACAGGCTTCTATCGGCGGTTCATAAAAGATTTCTCAAAGATTACAATGCCGATGTGTCAATTACTCCTAAAAGATGCTGAATTTGAGTTTACTCAACCATGCAAAGACGCTTTTGATCGTTTGAAGGTTTTACTCACTTCCACTCCAATCATCCAACCACCCAATTGGGATCTCCCATTTGAGATCATGTGCGATGGGAGCAACATCGCGGGGGCGGTGTTGGGACAAAAAGTATATCGAGCTCACCATGTCATTTACTATGCATCCAAGACTTTGGATAATGCTCAAACCAACTACACCACAAAAAAGAAGGAGTTGTTAGTGATTGTCTTTGCATTGGATAAATTCAGACAGTACCTCCTCAGAACCGCAGTGATTATCTATTCCGACCATGCAACTATAAAACATTTACTAGTCAAGAAAGATTCAAAGCCGAGGTTAATATGGTGGATGTTGCTTCTGCAAGATTTCGATATAGAAATCAAAGATAAATGTGGGAAAGAGAATTTGGTTGCAGATCATTTTAGTCGTATTGTGTCACCCGAAGACACCACACCAATCTGTGACACATTCCTATATGAGCATTTGTTTGTTATCAAGGAATCCCCATGGTATGCGGACATTGTCAATTCAGTTTCCACCGGATTCCACACGTTGGCAAAAGGACAAAATCAAGAAGGTGCGTAAGCGGTATGTATGGGATGAGCGTTACCTTTAGAAGTATTATGTAGACCAAATGATCTGAAGGTATGTTGAGCAAAAAGAGGTACAATCCATCCTTAACTCTTGTCATTCCTATGCTTGTGGAGGTCATTTTGGACCCAAAAGGACATCTAGAAAAAGTCTTAGATATAAGATTCTATTGGCATACCATTTTCACTATTCTTATGTGTTATGTGCACATTGTTTGTAAGTGCCAAAGATCCGAATCCTTAAGATCTAGGAATCAAATGCCCCTTACCCCCATTTTAGTATGTGAAATCTTTGATATATGGGGTATTGAATTTATGGGACCATTTCTGCCCTCTTTTGGTTGTTCATATATCTTATTGGCGGTGCACTACGTGTCCAAATGGGTGGGGGCCAAAGCCACCCGTACTAATGATTCCAAAGTTGTGGTGGATTTTCTTAAGGCACATATTTTCTCCCGGTTTGGCACTCCAAAGGCTCTCATAAGTGATCGTGGGACTCATTTTTGCAACCAGATGCTTGAAGTCGTTCTGAAGAAGTATGGGGTGACTCATAAAGTCTCAACAACCTATCACCCCCAAACCAATGGGAAAACAGAGGTCTCAAATAGGCAAATCGAAATCATTTTAGAGAAAACATTCAATCCAAACTGCAAGGACTAGTGTATAAGGCTGGATGATGCCTTATGGGCATACTGCACTACTTTCAAAAGCCCCATTGGTATGTCCCCATACCGACTAGTGTTTGGAAAATCGTGTCACCTTCCGGTTGAGCTCGAGCACAAAGCTTTTTGGGTTGTAAATAAATTCAACTTGAATGAAGATGAGGCGGGAAACAAAAGGAAGCTAGACATTCAAGAGTTATAGGAGATCAAAAATGATGCATATGAAAGTGACAAGATTTACAAAGAGAAGACAAGGCGTATCATGACAAAATGATCTCCCGGACAACTTTTGCACAAGGAAAAAAAGTGCTTCTTTACCACTTGAGGTTGAAGTTGATTTCAGGGAAGTTAAGATCAAGATGGGTTGGTCTTTTTCGTGGTCACAAAAGTATTCGACCATGATGCGGTGGAAATCACAGACCAACAAACCGGGAAAACATTCAAAGTCAATGGTCAAAGATTGAAGCCGTTCTACGAGGGATTTGAGGTGAAGGATGATGAGGTAGAAGTGGTTGGGAACCCCACATACCAAGAATGAAACATATCCGGGGGCCACATCGAGCCAACGACTTAAAACAAGGGCAGCAAACCGGGAGGCAACCTGGGGGTATTTTTGTCTTTTTCTTTAAAAACACTTCCATTTCTTTGAAGTTTTTGGTTTTTAATGTTCCAAATGCATTTAAACATGTTTTCAAATCACCAAATGGACCTCGGGATGCAAATCCATTTCTTTTGAATGAGTGGTGATTTTTGGGTTCAAAAAGTGGGAAGTGGCAAACAGAGCCGTACACGAACCATGTTCATTCTGCCTTATATTGAACATGGGTCGTGTTCATGAGAAGTTAAATTTTTTTTGGAGTCAGAGAGGTACACGCCCCGTGTTCATTTTTTCCTTATACGGAAAACTGGTCGTGTTCATGTGAGGCTAACATTTTTGGAGTCAGAGAGGTATACAACCCGTGTTCACTATTTCCTTATACTGAACACAAGTCATGTTCAGCCATTCTCAACATTATTTCACCCAAAACGACCTGTATGGATTTACACTAATAGATCACGGGCTATGTACGCGCAACAGAATATGTGGGTTTTAAGTTTTAAAATCGAGGTTTTCACATCATTTACCCACAAACACTTCCCACAACAACCCTTTCTACCAAGAAACCCCCAAGGTCTGATTTTCTTCAAAAACCACTTGATTCTCCATCAATTTTGGCTTAAATCTTCAAAGAGGTTTTATTTTGCTTCTTCTACACTTCATTTTCTACATCTCACACACCAATTCTTGCATATTCATGGTGGATTTGGGGGTTTTGACAAATCCTAGGTACGAAAATCACTAAAGATTTTGGTGTTTTTGTGCTTAAATATTTATGTAGGCAAGCTTGGGGAGGTTGAAGAGAAATTTCTCACCAACAACAACACATATTCACTAACAATCTGGTACAATCTTTACAATTCTTCACTTGTGGATTTTGTGTTCTTAAGGTCAAATTGCATATATTTGTGGTCATTTTGGACTTGACAATAACTTGGAAATCATTCAAAACTGAGTTTCCTGTGAAATTTTGGTGGCCAAACTCGAGTTGACTGGACCCCTCAACAGTTGCTTTTTGACTCGTTGACCGGTTGGCTTTTTGCCCCAACCATTTTTTTTTGCATATGGAAGGCGAGCATTCTAAAAGGCATAGACACACCAAGTCGTCGGCCCGCCGTCGTTGGTCTCCCACACCACCACCTAGGTCCCCGTCACCTCCACCCAATCCGATATATGGATGTATGGTTTGTTCCGGGCCAATTCGAGTTGCCAAACCTGAGGCCTTTCTCCAACGCACTCATACCATTAATAAATTTGCACATGTGCCATCTCTCCATGAGTTGCACATCTATAATCAAGTCCACACATTGTTCTGGAACATTAGATGGCAAGGGTTGTTGCAGGTCCACGAGCTCAGTTACAAAGTCCCGACAGCCAAGTTCTTGTCTTCACTCTATTTGGACCACAGTGTCCTACATTTCTAGCTTATGAACCATGATCATGCCCTGTCCCTAGATCAAATCAACGCCATAGTTGCCCCCCCTAGAAAACACCTTTGGCCCCAATGAACTACTCTCAGGATACAGTGATCTTACGTGGTGGATTGACCTTACGCATCAACATCCCGATGTCTCAAGTTCTGCTAAAGCCTCATCTCTCATCCACCCTGTGATGAAAGTGGCTCATAGGATTATTGCTTCACTTTTCGTCCCTAGAGAAGAAAGAAGCACCATTAGCGCTCTTGAGCTCAAAATACTCTATGCGATGGCCCACCCGAACAATGACCTTGTTCCTAACTATGGCTCATTCCTTTGCAACAAGCTCACCCTCCTCAACACATCACGACCCGAAAAAATTTATTGTGGTGGAATTGTCAGTTTGTTTGTTAAAAGTGCTCCAGTCCAGGCCCCATATCCCGAAATTCACCAACCTCTGCACGGTGACCCCTACCTTACCACGACAGTACTCGAGAGCATAAGGATGTTTCGTATGGAGGACGGGAACCATAATTAGACTGCGGGCCAAAACCACGACCCAAGGTTCCTCATCACTCCCGAAAATCGGAACATCCTTGCCATCAGGCAGCCTACTAACTTTACCGACTGGAAAATCACGACTTATCTTTTCCCCGTCTCCTTCTCCGAGGAGGAAGATGAGGAAGGTGAAGAAAGCGACGAGGCTGATGAGAGTGGCGGGGCGGCACCACAAAATTCTCTGCCCATGGGTGGAGCTAGCTCATCCCATCATGTTGAGCACCCATCATATCATCAACAATATATGGATCAATTCCAATCGATCCATACCCGAATTGATACTTACCATCAAGATCTCGCGAACCTAACCCAAAGTTTTTCCTCCTTCACCACTCAATATGATCGGGATCAAAAGTGTCAACGCAATCATGAGGAGGACTTTTGGGCTTGGACTCGAAATTCCGATTATTATCCTCATCCTCCTCCGCAATAGGTTGTTCTGCTCTCTCTGAGCATTGGGGATGATGCTTATCTTTAAGCTTGGGGAGGGGTAGAGTTGTATACTAGGTTCATTCATGCATTTAAAAAAAAATTTATTTTGCACCTTGCATTTTCAAATATAAAACCCAAAAATATTTTTCCTCTTTGCTCTAGTTTCTAAGCTTTTTGTTTCCCATTTTCATATATATATATATATATATATATATATATATATATATATATATATATATATATATATATATATATATATATATATATATATATACGAGATGATGGCATTCTTTACATACGATAGCTCCATGACGTGGGAAAACGAGAAATCAAATGAAAAACAAAATACCCAAAGCGATCAGGTAGTTAAAGGAAGTGTAGAATTAACTATCATGACTAGGGGACCCAAACACCGTAATTCGAGACCCCGACCTTAGATAATAAAAAAATGGCATACTTAAACATTTTTGTGGGCGTTAATAACAGCTTTAGGATGATTTGCTTCTGAATGTTTAAAAAGAATCTTTATCAACAACTCTGGACCCATAGAATACTGACCTATTTGTTGACATGTGTTACCCTCACTATAACAAAGAGCTTAAGTATCAGATCCACACAGTCAAGAAAGAAGAATGGGTACAACTGTCATATCCAGTACCCAAATCAAAAAAAAAAGATTCAAACACTTAATGGAAGAAACTTTCAGAAATTCAAAATTTGATTGAAGAATTCAAAGCTCAAAACGAAGAGACAAATTCAAGTTCAATCAAAATCAAAAGTCATCTCAAAGTCAAACCTGGAAAATGAAGAACTGTGTGATATGATACTTGTGACTTTCAAAAAAGTGAAAGCATAGGAGTCGGGCCTCTTCAGGTGGGATTACTGTTTCAGCGAAAGCTGATTCGCCCTGACGGGTTCTTAAGGATGCGTCGATTCTGATTCTTGATCATCTAGTCTTAAGGACATGATATCCCTAACTGTGTTATTTTCGCTCGCAAAAGATAATTAAGGTATAAAGTTGAAATAAAACTATGGTTGGATTATTGGATTACACCGTTTCGTGGTCTTCCTCACTTTGGGAGTCTGTGATATGTGGAAGGTAGCATGATGGTCGCCTAGGTATTAATGATTGGAGCCCCATTGATGTAAATTTTGATTGTATATGTCCATATTTATAAAAATAAATAAAAAGATTACTTATGTTCTTAATTTTTTTCTTTGGTTCATTTTTTGTTCCTTAAGTATCTTTTGTACAAATGTTTCTTTTTCATGGTTTTCATTGCATGCATTTAATCTTAGCTTTTAGGATCTTTATGTCCCCATTTATTCTATGTTTCTTTTTGCCATCTGGAAATCGTCATGTTTGTCCGGTTCTTACTCTTTCTTAAGGACAAGAAAGGTCTACGCTTGGGGAGATTTGTTAGGTGCAATTTGTTCACCTTTTGCACACCTTTTAGTCCCTTTTAATGCATCTATTTAACATAATTGTTCTTCCTTTTTCTTGCATTTTATCATATTTATGTTAGTCTTTAAAACAACCTTATTTGCACACTTTCATGTCTTTTTCAGGTAAACCGGAGGTTGGGACGCGCTTTGGGAGGTGCCGAGATGCATTAGTGAAGAATTCGGGATGATCGGGCGAAGAGCGGAAAAGTTGGAAATATGAAGTTTGGAATTGGAGTCAGAGGGGTACACGGAGCGTGGTGGATTTACACTATAAAAGGAACACGGGCCGTGTTGACTAGAAAAGGGGGCCGTTGACTACACTGAACACGACCTGTGTTGATTTGTTTTATTTTGACACGGGCCGTGTTCGACCCAAAAACTGCCTTTTGACAATTTTTTTCTATTTTTCATATCACGAGAATTGGGTCATTTTTAAACATGCACATAATACCAGAGCACATTGGGTGATGGAATTTCGTAGGTTTTTGCAAGGATTTAATCGGTTATCATTTGGAAACATTATTTCCCTTAATTGTAAGTTGTAATTGCACATAATTTCGTTCTAGCCATGTGAGGCTAGAACCCTAGTTTCTCCAACTTCATGTTTTGACTTCTTGATTGTGATTTCAACCATATGACTTGATGTTTGCTTTTGATTTCTATCTAGTGAATTCTATTTTGCTTCAATTGAATGTTTGATTTTAATTGTGATTTTTATTGGCCATTTGAATTAGGGTTAGGTCATTCAAGTTATTCATTTTGCAAAATCCGTAATTGTTTTGTGAATTGGACTAAGTAACAAGCAGTAAATTGATTTCCCTTGAATGAATTCAGTGTAAATCTTTTCACACACTTGTACACTCCTGAGCTTGTGAGGAGTGTTGGGAACATTCACATAAAGCTTAATGCAATAATCTAATCTAATTCTAAGAGCTTGTTTAGATTAGGTTAGGGTTAATCAAAGAGCTTATTTTGGCTAATTAATGTGGTGAATGGGAAGTGTTAGACTTTATTAATACTTTCAAGTACCAACTTAGATGGAATTGAGCAAATATCATGTTATCTTGGAATCCCATTGCTAAGTTGTCATACATATAGTTGGAGTCCTTACAAATTCTGAATTTAATTCACTCGTTTAGCTGATTACTTGTGTTTTTAATTGTTTGTTTAATCATTGCATTCTAAACCCCCCTCTCTTTACTATTGGTGACCATAGTACCTTGTGCAAAGAGGTATAGACCGATTGTCTCGTGTCTCTGTGGATCGACCCTACTTGCCTTGTATTACTTTTTAGTGCAATATAGTAGTGTTCTTTTAGAGTATATCGTACCTCTTTATTTGTTGGGTTTGATACGCCTAACAACCATATATCAACATCCAGGTTCAAAAGAGAAACTCCAAACGAGAACACAACAATAAAAAAAGAAATGATTAAATATTGACCAACAAACTATTCAGTTTGTCCACTTTTGGTCATTAAACTAATTTTTATCTATTTTTTGGTGCTGAAATTTTCAAAATTGTTTAATTTTAATAACTCAATTTATTTTTATCAACTTTTAGGTTATTAAGTTGTCAAGATCGTCTAAACATAGATGATTGTAAAAAGTTCATCAACTAAAAGCAAATAAACATATATTGAGTGACTAAAAATGGACAAACGAAATAGTTTGATTCTTATTTTTTACATTTTCCCTAATAAGAAATGATGACCCTTTATATTCTGTTTTAGTTTAAAGATATTGAAATCCCAAATGGAAGACAAACCTCCAGATCTCCAGTGTTGATCTACATATGCATTGACGAACACTGAAGAATCCAAGAATGAATGGAATTGGATTTTGGAAGCTTCCCTAAACCGTGATTCTTGAAAAGCTTTAAAAATTGAGTTTCGATTAATACGTGGGCTCAGACTGACATGTGTGCCCAGATTGATTTGATAACTTTAGATAACGTATTGGGCTATAGTAGGCAAAATCCTTCGAGCCCATATTAATATTAGATTGATATGTGAACCCATATTGACTTTTTCTGATGGATTAGCATTAACTTGTGCTATTTTGATTTTTGAATATTATATGTTACTCTAACTACAATACAAAACTATGAGGACAAATAATATTTATGAAAGTCTAAGGACGGCTTCATAAACACTTTCTACCATAATAGATATCGAGTCTGTTGGCATGTGGTATGGTGTTCGAATCTTTCAAGAACTTCATAATTTGTGGGACCCAATATTTTATTTTTAGTTTAATTTGTCGATATTTACATAACAATTTTACATCATTAACAAGTTTTTTTGATACATTAAAATGATGATATCAATAATGGCATTATAGATATCAATTCCCTTTAAAATGTTATAAAAGATATAAAACCGATTTCTGGGAATATTAATTCTTAACTTTTTAGAGGTTTTAATTATAATTATTATAAATCGTATGAAAAAAGAAAGATGCTTTGTTTTTGTCCTATTACTTAAACATGAAAAATATATATAATATTAATGAAATAGATGAGACACATTTACAAACCCTCAAAAAAGTTTACGGGTTTGATAGAAATTGTTGTAAATATAAAAATATTATGAATTTTATGAATTAAGGTGTATCACTCGAGATGCTTATCACAGCAAAACCTTAAATCAAACTGATGCAGTATTACTAATAAGAGGTTAATAAAGATATAATATTGATAATTAAAAATAGTTATAATATTCTAAATTAAAAATAAACATATTAAACATAATTAAATAATACAAAATCGAAATATTAATATAAGATTGCAATTTAGGTTCCCAAAAAGTTTATACCGTAAACTTTTCCCGGTAACATTAACCACCACCGCCGCCGCAGCTTCACGGAAAAATGACAGGAGCGCCACCGCCACAGTTACTAACGAAACCTCTTCAAATATTCTTCTCCTTCCTTTTCATTGTAGCTGTTGAGTTTTCCTGTGCGAGTTCACAGCACTTCTTGACATCCGAGCGAGCCACATTGCTTACCCTCAAGCAACGGTGGGGGAATCCGCCGTCACTGAGGAACTGGAACGCCAGTTCATCGCCGTGTGACTGGCCAGGAGTTTTTTGCAACGCCAACGGCTCAGTTATTGTTCTTGTTCTTCAGAGCAAAGGGTTAACCGGACATATACCGCCATTCATCTGTGACCACCTACAGAATCTGAAGAGCTTGGATCTCACTAATAATTTCCTCACCGGAGAGTTCCCAAGGGTTTTGTATAATTGTTCGAAGCTAGTTGAAATTGATATCGCATACAACGGTTTTGTCGGAAGGTTGCCGGATGACATTGACCGATTATCATCAGGACTCAAAACCTTTGATATCGGAGGTAATAACTTCACCGGCAATATACCTCCAGCAATCGGCAACTTGTCAAAGCTAATGTATTTGCACATGTATCGGAACTTGTTAAATGGCTCGATGCCACGGGAGATTGGAAACTTATCTAATCTATTACTTTTAAATTTGGCGTATAACAGATTTGCAGCGGCGGAAATGCCATCGGAGTTTGGGAGATTGAGCAATTTGACGTATTTGTTACTGCATAACAGTAATCTAGTCGGAAAAATGCCAGAAAGTCTGGCGAATATGTCTAATCTGCACTATTTGGATTGTAGTTCCAATAATTTAGAAGGTGAAATCCCTTCTGGGTTGTTTCTGTTGAAGAATTTGAAAATTTTGTTCTTGTATAGTAACAATTTATCCGGCAAATTTCCGGCCATGATGGAGTCTTTAAATTTGACTCAAATCGATGTCTCAGAAAACAAATTGAACGGGCCAATTCCTGAAGGTTTTGGCAAATTGCAGAAGCTAGAGGTGTTGAATTTGTTCTTAAATCAATTATCAGGCAATATTCCAATAGGTATTTCTCAAATTCCAACATTGAAGATTTTTTCAGTCTTTAGCAATAATCTCAGAGGCGAATTACCTCCGGAACTTGGGCTTCACTCAAAGCTTGAAGCTTTTGATGTAGCGGGGAACAAACTCACCGGAAAACTGCCTGAGAATTTGTGCAGTGGAGGAATGCTGTTCGCCATGGTTGCTTTCTCCAACAATCTCACCGGAGAAATCCCGAGATCACTCCAGCGTTGTCAAATGCTTCGTTCAATCCAACTCTATAACAACAGTTTCACGGGTGAAATTCCTCCAGGAATTTGGACATTATTCAATCTTTCAAGTTTAAGGCTCACCGGAAACTTCCTCTCCGGCGAGCTACCAAGTAGAGTAGCAATGAATTTATCAAGATTGGAGATCAGTGACAACAAGTTTTCAGGTCGAATTCCGGAAGGCATTTCTTCTTGGACGAAACTGAACGTGTTCAAGGCTCGTAATAACATGTTTACAGGTGAACTTCCCGCCACATTTACTCATCTTTCACAGTTGTCGGTCCTTCATCTTGATGGGAATGCACTTTCCGGCGAACTTCCATCAGAGATGAAGTCATGGAATTCACTAACCACTTTGCATCTGGCTAGAAACAAACTTTCTGGCCCGATTCCACCAGCCATAGGTTATTTGAAACGTCTTCTTGATCTTGATTTATCAGAGAACCAACTCTCCGGCCATATTCCAACACAATTAAGCCTTTTGAGGCTGAACACTTTGAATCTTTCTTCCAACAAACTCACCGGAAGAATCCCATTTGCATTTGATAACCTGGCTTTCGAAAATAGTTTCTTGAACAACCCTGATCTATGTGCTGGTGCTTCATCCCCAATTTCAAACCTCCATAACTGTAACACCAAATCTTCACACTCCCACAAAACCATCTCCATGATTCTCGCCTTGTCAATATTTATCATAATCGTCACCGTTCTTTGCACGTGCACGTTGTTCATGTTCAGACAACACCTCAAGAAGAAATACGTACAGGATCCCATGACATGGAACCTGACTTCATTTCATATATTGGACTTCACAGAATCAAACATTTTGTCGTCCTTGACCGAGAACAATCTAATCGGTAGTGGTGGTTCCGGGAAAGTCTACCAAATTGAAATCGGTCGGCGTGGCAACTATGTTGCAGCCAAGATGATTTGGAACCCTCAAAAAGTCGACGATACCCTCGAGAAAGAGTTTTTATCGGAGATTCATATATTGGGTTCAATTCGTCACTCCAACATAATCAAATTGTTATGTTGTATTTCGAGCGAGGATTCTAAGCTTCTTGTTTATGAGTATATGGAGAATAGAAGTCTCGACAAGTGGTTACATGGGAAGAAGAGGAAATCGCAACACCCCACGATCTTGGACTGGCCCAGGAGGTTGCAGATCGCCATTGGAGCAGCTCAGGGGCTGTGCTATATGCACCATGATTGTTCTCCGGCGATCATTCATAGAGATATAAAGTCAAGCAATATTCTGTTAGACTCGGATTTCAAAGCCAGGATAGCGGATTTTGGACTCGCAAAGATTTTGACCGGTCAATCCAACACCATGTCTGCTATAGCTGGCTCATTTGGTTACATACCCCCTGGTAAAAACACTTTGACTTTAAAACTCGTTCAAATTCGTTTGACCTTCAAAGTCAATCCATACTCTATTTATTGCTAAACTAAAGTCAAGCCCCAATTTTACAATTGATTGCAGAGTATGCTTACTCGACTAAGGTAAATGAGAGGGCAGATGTATATAGCTTTGGTGTGGTGCTATTAGAACTGGTAACCGGAAAAGAAGCACATGAAGGAGATGGGGATATGAATCTAGCAGAATGGGCATGTAGGAATTACAGTGAAGGGAAGTCCATGGTTGAAGCTTTGGACCCTGAAATTAAGCAGGATGATAATCACATGGAAGAAATCAGGCTAGTGTTCAAACTAGGGCTTATTTGTACTAGCACATTGCCTTCGAGTCGGCCACAAATGAAAGAAGTACTTGGGATTCTTCAGATGCGTAATCTCTTCTTAAGTAGGAATAAGGTGTTAAATGAAAGCATTGATATTTTTGATGGCAAAAGTGTAAAAAGTTGCTGATGATAGTAAGTTTCAAGTATTTTATTATATGCTTCTTTAGATTAAATATGTTGATGTTTTGTGTGATCGAGTAGATAGAATTAAAGCTCTATTTTTGGTTAGATTGACTGGTGTGTGTATATGTCAAGAGTGTAGCAATATGATATGGTGGTTTTATTTATTATTATTATTATTATTATTATTATTATTATTATTATTATTATTATTATTATTTGTTCAATAAAATGATAATATTATGATTTTATATGTTCACGTATCCTTTTTTTTTTTAATCGTTAAGTAGTTAACCAATAACTGATCCTCATCCGCATGGTTATAAGAATATGCACAAATCATTTTCCAATAAAAAATGACTCGTTTAACGTTCATGATATTCATTCATTTCATGGATAGGCTTTACGTCTAATATGTAACGGATGAGTGTGAATTAAGACCGCAAAGTTTCACAACATGATCAAGAATCAATTTGCGGGTGGGGGTGGTATCAAGAAGATTGGGTGTGACAACAGAGGAAAATTCATTTCTAATTTTATGACAAACTTCTATGCCGAGCAAAACAATTTTGTTGGAAACAACATCTCCACAAACACCCCAACAAAAAGGTGTTGTGAAAAGAAATACAGACATTTTCATGAGATCACTCGGGCTTTGCGATTTGTATAACCTTCCCACTAAGTTTTGAGGTGAGTGCATCCTGATAGACTACCTACATCATAAATCGATTGCCCTCTAAAGTCATAAAAAAAAAAAAAAAAAAATTGTGCGCAACCAAAAATTAGATTATGATCACACGAAGGTCTTCGTGTGTCTAGCTTATTACACAAGTCCCAATACAAAAGAAGATAAGTTTGAAGTGAAGGGGAGACGAGCCGGAGGATATCCTCAAAGAACAAAAGGGTACAAGATTAATGATCTTGACTCTCGAGTGATTACTATCACATAACAACATAACCTTAAACATGAGTGATTACGATCACATAACAACATAACAACATAACCTTAAACGTAGTATTATAGAGACATACACAAACTATCTCAGCCATCTATTCTCATCTCATCATATCAACCGTGTTGTGTGTTGGGGTTCATAAGAAACTTATTATTCACTCCACTTCTATACAACTCCAATTCTGTTTCTGTAGTCACACAAACCTCAGTTCCTGCAGGTGCAAATAAAGCCGACCCTTCCCACACTCTTTCTTCCGATGATGATGTCAGCATCGACCCCTCTCCTGAAACAACCACAAAAACGGCAGGCCCCACGACAGCTGGAAAAACAACCGATGATCCTCCTGTCAACACACACCGGTCAATCTCAAACTCCTCAAACGGAGGTGTGTACCTTCTTGTATACGGATTCAACGGCACCCCTTTCAAGATCTCAGGCAACCCCTGATCATGAATACATGCATTGTTTAAAACATTAGTTAATTTGTCTATTACCTAAAATACCCTTGGAGAAAGTTAATATGAATTAAGGTAGCTCGGTACCTGGGTATATGTGAGCATGGAAGAAAGGACTTTTACGTCCATGTACTTTGGAGTAAGGCTAGCTCGCACCACATTGTCTGAAGCCGCCATGCACTCCACACACTCACCGGTTAAATAAGCATGTGGTTCGTTTGCTCCTACGTATAAAGCTTCACCCGGGTTTAATATCAAATGGTGAAGTAGTAGAGCTGCTAACACACCCACGTCATTAGGGTATTGCTTCTCAAGCTTCAACACTAGTTCTTCCTTACTACTTAACTCCCTTGTCTGATAATAAAACGAAAAAAAAAAAGAATCATCTAATTGCAAATAAGACCTCGACAATTTAATAAAAGTACAATTTATACCTCCTTTTCCCTGTTTAGACGACTAATCAATCTGGACAATGATGTGGAAATGGCGTCCCGGTCAACCGACATGAGCTTGGTAAATATTGACCTGCAGAGAACTCGGTCTTCTTTTACTTTTACCTCCCCATTTTCAATTTCATTAATGCCAACTAACTCATTAATCTCGGGGACACTTTCAAGGACAACATCGAGTTCCTATGACCATTAATCACATCACAGGATTATTAATTTGAGTAAGTTATATTATATATATATATATATATATATATATATATATATATATATATATATATATATATATATATATATATATATATATATATATATATATATATATATATATATATATATAAGGCTTGGAATTGGGTTAATGCTAGAGCCATTTTCAGGCTTATGGTTTGCGTCTTTGTACACATTTGGTTGCAGCTTGTGAAGAAGCCCTGCTAATTCCTTATCTGGATGGGCTTGTATTGACAATGATCGACCCACTGAAAGGACCTGGTTGTACACACGTGTACTTATTCTATTAATGGTAAGATAACAAGTATATACATGAAAAAAGTCATTAATTATAGTAAGAAATTAAAGAACAAATATTAGTTGTATATTAATTGCTGGAGGTGAGCTGTATTTTTTCAGATTTTCTAAACGTATCTTTAAAATTTTATAGATTTTGGAAATCAAGGTTGTTGCAGATCAATGCCACTAGCCATTCTTCATCATATTACAGATAAACTATTATCTTTAATTATGTCAATTTAAAAAAGATGCATGAAAGAGGAGTGATTAATTACATACCTTTAATAAGAAGGGGAGATCAGGTCCCCATTTATCAACAACAACATCACCCAAAAGCTTCTTAGGGTTTTGCAAAATCCACGACTTCAAACTCACATTATGATCGGTTTCTAGAAATGAGGGTCCGGAAACATGAGTTCCAATCCAAAACTCAGCGTAATGCTTGTTTTCCTCGATTTGACTTTGACCTCCACAGTTTCTTTCAAACAGCCTGGCGACCCTCGAATCGTAACCAATTCGACCCCAATTGTAGTTTTGAACTCAACATTTCAGCTTCACAACCCGTTTTTCGTCCATCCCTACTTTCTCGATGGAAAGATGCATATGCATGCAGTAAATATGAAGAAAAATTTGAAGACAAGTAGAGAGGGAGGGAAAAGTAGAACTAATTACAATCTGTTGTATGTGTACGTTTGGAGTTTCAAAGTCATGGGGGGATTCTCTTCTATATATATACATGGGTGAAAGCTGAAAACCATTTATTATCCGACTCAAAACCATTTAACTCTATCCTATTGAATATTATCTGAGTCAAAACCATTCTATTGGGAGTCAATTTTACTTGTTATGTTTTCTAAGCATTAAACATAAGTCAAACACAAAATCATAATTGGTTAACCGCAAATTCCAGTAGGCAACGGACATGACTTCCATTTCCTGTTAAATCTCCCCGCCTTAATTCTTTCAGACACCTTACATGATTTGTTTCTTTCAATCTCAAGAGCCTTGGATATACTATTTTTAATTTTTTAGAACCTGGCCATATGCCTTGCCAAAATTGCGTATTATTGGCTGACTTATTCTTTATCGAAATATGCCATTAAATCTAAAACCCATCCCCTTAATATCCTTTTACACACCATCAATGTTATTCCAGCCTGCTTTTCTTTTTAGCTAAATAATCAACCGGTTTGTTTTTCAAATTGTGTAGACCAACAATGACTTTGGCCAACAATGAAGATGATTCTTATTTGATTCTCCACTACCACTTCACTAACAACGGCACATTTAATGCTTGAATTGATCCCACCCCAAGCCACCAAATTCCTTGGGAGCAATTACTGTGTCCCAAACAACTCAGCGAATTTTGTTATTTTCTTCATTCCCTCCCCACAAAAACTTCTGCCGGATCTTTTCCAGTGATTCTATGATACCGACCGGGGCTCTAAAACATGACATGTAGTAAGTTGGAAGATTTCCCAAGACCACCTTAATTAACGTAAGTCTCCTACCAAATGACAATGTTTTAGACTTTCATCTAGAAAGTTCGGCTTGGAATTTATCTATAATTGGTCTCCAGTTCTTTATCAACTTCATATTTGCACCGACCGACACCCCAAGATACATAAAGGGGAGGAACCAACCTCACACCCCAGAATTTGTGCCTACCTTCTGTTTTCTCCCGTCGATAGACTAACACCAAAAACCATGACTTTATGAAAGTTTACCTTCAATCCTATGGATACATGAAAACACTTGAGAATAGATGCAAGATTTTTCAGATTATTTCTCGACCATTCCTTACAAACAATGCACCATATGCATAAAAAGCTGTGAGATTAATAGATCATCACTAGGTACTTGTATCCCTTTGAATATGCCTTTGTCAAACACTGTTTTCATCACTGCATTCAACCCCTCCATCGATATTATAAATAGAAAAGGAGAGAGTGGGTCCCCTTGTCAGACTCCTTTAGAAATGTTGACCTCTTTAGTTCACATTAATCCATTTATAGCCACCAATGATCTCGAGAAAGACAAGTAAACACGAATCTACGTGTAACACCCCGTTTGTTAAATAAATAAATAGATAAAATTATGTGAATAGTAGCCATAAAATCCATAACTTTAGTGAGGTGTTGGTTTTCGGGAGCCAAATGTTATAATTTGGATTATTCGGGGGTTAAAGTGTAGATTCGAGATTTCTTTTGTAAAGATTCTTAGAAGACGGGGGCTAAAGAGTAAATTCTGGACTTCATTTGAAAATAATTGGTATAGGAGGGGCTGTTTGGTAACTATTGGGCTTATTATGAAAGGATTTTTAGATCTGGGGGCTGTTGGGTAAATTACGGATTGGATTTGAAAGGGATTTCCGAAGCCAGTGTAGAAAGGATAAATTAAGGACTTAGTTTGAAAGAAGAAGGAAAAGGAGAGACTGGAAGCTTCATTACGGAAAAGGTTTGATATGGGGCGGGAGTATATAACCGTTACCCTCATAACCTAAACTCTAACCCTAGGAGTCTCTCAACAGCCGCCACCCTTATGCCTCCGTCTTCCAGCCGCCACCACCATTCACCTCGATTGTTCTCTGACCATATAGCACCATCGAGCAACCCTTGTTACCGGCAACATCAAAGATCGATAGGAAATAGGAGTGAAGTTGCAACGAATCGCCATTGAAACACCACTGGACATCGTGAACAGTCGAGATAGATAGATAGATAGAGAGAGAGAGATAGAGAAAGAAAGAGAGAAAGAGAGAGAGAGAAAGAGAGAGAGAGAGAGAGAGAGAGAGAGAGAGAGAGAAAGAGAACCGCCGGAGACCAGAGTCGGAGCTATGAACGCGGATGCATGGTTTGAGAATGATGGGAGAACTGTGGTCATTGTATCGCTTCAGTGAAGACGAAAACCATCACCAGATGTCACGACTGCCAGCAACGTCGACTTCTCCTTTTCTACCGTCAACGAAGACTGAGAAGGCGCCTTCTGCAGCTGTTTCTGTCGCTCATGGTTCCACCATTCTCCTCATTCCGCCGGTGATATGTTCTAGCCTTGACCACCGCCATCAATCGTCACTGTTACCGCTTGTGTTGCTGCTGCCGTCGCCAAACGCCACCAAGTGGGTGGCTGGGTCCACTTTGAAAGAAAAAAAGTGTGTCTGTATTTTTGTTGTGAGTGGGTGTTGTGTATGGGTTTGTCGGACGAAAAACCGAGAAAACTCCACCACCACCGTAAGGTGGTGGCTGCCACCATGTACCACCATCGGCCACCATAAGGGTGGTTGTGTGTGTGTATGTTTACCTTGTTGTGTATGTGTGTTACTTTGGGTTAAAACTTTGTAAATTTGTAATTGGTATCGAAATAATAATAAGAAAACTCATAACCACCACCGTGAGGTGGTGGTTACCGCCACGAGCCGAGTAGAGGAGTTATTGGCCACATGATTTTTAGAGTCTACTCGACGAGTTGGAGGACCCCAACTTGATGAGTAGGTGTTGAGTGAGAAAACCCTAATTTCAAGGTTTGTGTCCTATTTAAGGACCTTAAGCCTTCATTTCCACCTCCCTTATCACCCTAATACTCTGTGAGAAACCCTAATCGAGTGTATTTGTTTGAGAGAGAGAGAGAAAGAGAAAGAGAGAGAGAGAGAGAGAGAGACAGAGAGACACAGAGAGAGAGAGAAGCTAACTTTGGGTGTTCTAGTGCACTTTTACAACAAGAGGGAAGAGCAACAAGGCTTGGAACGAGAAGGGGCCTTTGGATCAAGTGTTTCTCAGTGCTAGCTTCAATTTGGAGGTAAAAAGCTACCACCTTGATCATTTCTTATAGTAGATCTCCTTCTAGAGAGTTTCAGGGCCTTTTCCCATTCATCTTTTGATTCTTGAGTTGCTTGAGATTACCATGGAGTTGAGACTCCAGATCTGGACAAAATGAGGTCCCATGAGCCCATAGATCCAAGCTTTATCAAGCTATTGACAAGCTTCCATGCATTAAACCCTCTATAGAGCTTGTTTTGGCATTTTGAGCTCTAGATGCCATGCATGGACATAAAGCTTGCCACTTTACATGATATTTTAGCCTTATAAGGCTAGATCCAGAGTATGAGACCTTAGTTCTACCTAAAATAGTCTGAATAAGGAAATGGACTTAAGGGACTCGACGAGTTGGTGAGCCGACTCGACGAGTCGGTTAGGGTTTTCCCTAATGAATTTGGACACGTTACAACTCGGCGAGTTGATGAGGCAACTCGCCGAGTTGAGTTAGACTTGCACAATACTTCTGAGAAAAATGAAGGAACTCGACGAGTCGCATAGATGCACTCGACGAGTTGGGTTAACATAAACTGTTGACTCGAGCGTTGACTTCTGTTGACTTTTAGGGTTTGGACAAGACATGAATTATGGAGACCATGGAGGGTTAAAATGGTCTTTTACCCTTTTCAAGAGTTAGAGAGATGGGTTACCCTATTATCTTAGAGTTGTGGTTTTAAGTGTTAATTAGAGATGGTCATGACATGTAGGTTTACTTGCTTACTTACGAGGTCAGTCTTCTCACTATACTTATCTAAGTGGTAACATTGTGTGAAAGGAAAGTCGTGTATCCTTATACTTACTTATGTGATATCATGCACTATGTCTTTTTGTTTCTGTTGTATATTATTCTGAGCTTTATTGAGTTACGACCAGAGGGTCTAATCCGAGTTGTAGTGCCTCGTTTCGAATCGTTCGCATTTCAGGGTGGTGATCAAGGAGTGGGTATTGGCTGAGTTAGAAACCTTGAAGAGTTGAGTTTGGACTCATTTGTAGGTTAATGATGTGGTTTGGATGATCCATTTATTCGGTTTATGTTTGGAGCCCAAAGGTATCGACAAAGGCATTGGTTCGGGCTGTTTATTGATTTTGGTTTTAAGTTCGGTTGGATTTCAGGTTAAATAAGGTTGATAGATGCATAGGGATTCTTGTTAGCTTTCCGTGGATATAAAGAACGTCAAAATCGGAGTTATAACGAAGAAGTTATGACTATTTGAAGTTATAAGGGTTTGGGCCAAATCGTGTACGCATGGCATACCAAGTAAGAACGCATGGCGTTCAAAAGGAAAATGGATGAGGGTGGATATGGGAACGCCCTGCGTTCCTAAAGGGAACGCGCTGCATTCGTTTGGGTAGACTAAACCCTAATTTTCGGGTCTTGGACCCTATTTAAACACCTTAACTCACCCCAACCCTTATTCCCTTCAACCTCCATCCTATCTAACCCTAAGAACAAAACCCTAAGCCTCATGCATGCATTTTAAGCTTACCTTGAATATTTTTGGTGTTGTTTGGGTGATTTGAAGAAGAAGGTGTTTAGAGAAGAAGCAAGAGATTGAAGAGAGCTTGTAGATCCATATGTTTTGCATCATTTCCAGCCTATTGAGCCATAAGTGGGCCGTTAGTTGGCTTGGAAAGACCATAGGGAATTGGGCCCTTTATGTGATGGATTTGAGCCTAGGTCATGGACAAAATTAGATCAGGGGTAAGATTATCATTTTACCCTAAGGAAACTTAATGGTTTTGGACTAAGTGTTTTGTTGCTATTGATAGCTCGGGGAGTCGTGAGATCAACAGTCTGAGGATCTGCCAGCTAGCGGCGAGGGGTTATACGCAGTATTATTCAGTCATCTTTGCGAGGTGAGTTTTCCTTCCAATAGGAATGGGTCTACGGCCACAATGCCGGCCCGTTTAGTTAGCAGTAATTCCGGATTTTGGTCCGATGCAGTAGCTTAGTGTGCTTGATATCTTTGTGATTCAAGCATGTCTTTGTGCTATATGTTCTGGACTTCTGTCCAATGCACTATGCCTTATATGTGTTTATGCTAGTAGTTAAGTTATGCCATGCTATGTTCACTCCGTTTCCGGACTTCGGTCCGATGCAGAGGGCAAGACCCTGGTTAGTTTCCAGACTTCGGTCCGATGCAGTTTCTGGATTTTGGTCCGATGCAGTGGGCAAGGCACAGTATGTGTTTTATATGTTAATGTATGGTATGTGGTAGTTTGGGGGAGCTCACTAAGCTTCGTGCTTACAATTTCTGTTTTGGTTTCAGGTACTCAGTTTCAAAAGAGGAGCTTGGGAAGATTGCAGTGCACACACCATCTGTTCAGCCTGGGATGTTTATACTATGATATTTTGATAATTGTTACGATATTTTGAGATACATTGTTTATGATTTTTATATGATGTTCGATGACTAAGGTTTTATTATTAAATTAAAATGAAATGTTTAGACTGTATTTTTGGGTTGTTTCACGAGTTGTGGGACCGGAGGGTCTCCATTGAGATACATTGATCAGAGGGTCATTATCGAGATATAGCCATGAGAGGCTAACGATATGTGTGCGGTATTCTGGGGAACTCACTAAGCTCCGTGCTTATCGTGTTGTGTGATATGTGTTTCAGGTACTTCTCAGGATCGTGGGAAGGCGTCGACTTGATTGTACACACGATATGGAGTTTATGTTTTTAGAGGATCCTGGATTTTTAAACAATTATTTAATTGTGTTTTGATAATTTTAAACAATTGTGTTTCTTTTGAAATGTGATAATTGGAATTATGTGACTTTGAAAATGAAAATTTTAGCTGAAAATTTACAGTGTTACAATGTTGGGTTGAAATATACCCCAGGGCTAGGCCCATTATCATATATTGGATTGAAATATATCCCATGGATGGGCCCATGATTATATGTTGGGTTGAAATATACCATAGGGTTAGGCCCATTATTGTATGTTGGGTTGAAATATACCAGAGGGCTGGGCCCATGATTGTATTTTGGGTTGAAAGAAACCCTAGGGATGGGCCGATTATTGTATGTTGAGTTGAAATATAACCCAGGGCTAGGCCCAATGATATGCATAGTATGTGGTATTATGGGGAACTCACTAAGCTTTGTACTTACAGTTTATGTTTGAAATATTTTCAAGTAGTTCTAGTTTCAAAAGGAAGGTCTCAACTTGAACGCACTGCATCCCCTGGAGATTTATTCTACATAGAATGTTTACAAAATTACTTTGTTGTTTTAAGAATACTATTATTCTGATTGTTTTTGAGTTAATAAATGAATGGTTTGACTTATTTAAAAATGAAAATTTTACTTGGTATTTTTGGGTTGTTACACTAGTTTTCAAACTAGGGCTCATTTGCACATTGCCTCCGAGTCAACCATCAATGAAAGATGTACTTGGGATTCTTCAGAGATGTAATCGGTTGAGTAAAGGCAACATGTAACATCCCCCTTTGGCACGTATCACAATATTGTCCGCTTTGGGCCACTCGGCACGAGGACTTCCCAGGGGGTCACCCATCCCGGTACTACTCCCGCCCGAGCACGCTTAACTGCAGAGTTCTTATGGGATCTGCTGCCCTCACGGCTTTAAAACGCGTTGTGACAAGGAAGGTATCCAAACCCCTTATAAGGAGATGTTTTGTTCTCCTTCCAAGCCGATGTAGGATCAGGTGCAACCCACCTTCACCCCCCATTATAGGGTTCGACGTCCCTGTCGAACACATCGACCCGTGCCCTAGCTCTGATACCATTTGTAACACCCCCCTCTGGCACGTATCACAATATTGTCCGCTTTGGGCCACTCGGCATGAGGACTTCCCAGGGGGTCACCCATCCCGGTACTACTCCCGCCCGAGCACGCTTAACTGCAGA